CGCCCGCTGGCCCTTTTGCGCTCCCTGGTTAGAGTTGTTGGAACGTTGATGGCAGATGAGTATCGCAAATGGGAAGAGATAGTCGCACGGCCCTATGACTGGGCTTGCAGAGGTAAAGGTGCTGAAGACGCGATGTGGGACCTCATGCTCAGGGACGAGAGCAGAGGACCACATCAACGCGGCCGTGGTGAAGGACCTGTCCAAGGCGTTCGAACACGTCACCACGAGGCGCTTGTGGGAGCACGGGCGCAAGCTGGGGATGCCAGAGCAGGTGCTCCACTTCATGATCTCGATCTTCACTATGGAGAGGGTCGTCGCGCTGGATGGTATGGTGGCCTCTACACGGATGCGTACGTGGTCGGCAGCGGCTGCAGGCAGTCGAGGTGGCACACGGGCGCTCAAGTGCTTCACCATCATCTTGTTGGACATGGTCATCGCCAGGCCGTGCCTCGAGGGGGCCAAGAGGTACGTCAAGCTCTACGTCGACGACACCACGCTCCACCTGCAGGGCGAGCGGGAGGCGGTGGTGCACGAGGCGAAGGAGTCTTCGATGGCATACATACAGGCAGCTGAGGCAGAAGGCCTCCCGCTGTCGCTCACCACGCACAAGAACGGCGTCACCAAGAAGGGCAAGAGCTATGTCTACACGGCAGACAAGCAGGCCAATACCAAGTTCAAGCTCTGGGCGAAGGACTGGGGCCTGGAGATCCAAGAGGAGGGCGTGCAGCTGGGCGTGGACTTCACAGGCGGTGTGGGCGCGCAGCGGCGGCCCAAGCAGCAGGAGCGCGTAGAGGTCATGGTCACGAGGGGTACCAAGCTGAACATCCTGAAGAAGCAGGGCGCCAGCCTGGGCACGGCCAAGGTAGCTAAGCTGGGCTTCTTGCCGTCCATGCGATACGGGGTGGCCTATATCGGAGCGCCGCCGAAGCTCATCGAAAGGGCTCGCATCAACATGTCGATGGCGCTGAGCGGCGAGGCCATGGGCAAGGGTCGCACCTTGCGCCTATGGCTCGAGGAGGCCGACCCAGCGGTGAGCCTCACCATACGGCCAGTGGTGAAGCGGGCTGCGGTGGTATGGAGTAGGGCCATGGACGAGGAGGCTATGGTCGCGGCACGGAGGAAGGCGTCTGCGCGGCTGGCCACGGCAGGCAAGGTGGCATGGTCGGCAGTCAGAGGGCCTGCAGAGGCAGTCCTGAGGACCATGCGCGACCTCGGCTGGTCATGGCCTGCGCCGTGGACGCTGCTCACACCAGCGGGCGTCCTGGTGCCATTGCACACGGTGGCGCCTAAGACGGTTAGGTACAAGCTGGAGAGGGCCATCGAGCGGCAGGTCCTCGCAAAGTGGGCCACAGAGAAGGGCATCGCTGAGGAAGTCCCGGTGCCGTTTTTGGAGCCGGTGAGGGCGCTGCTCAAGAAGCGCAGGTGGGCTGCGCATCAAGGCGCCATCAAGGCCTACGTGGGGCAGGACTACTGCACGCAGGCCAAGCTCCAGCAGCGCGGCACGGTAGCCGACGGCATGTGCCAGCAGCGCAGGCGCGCGCAGGGCACTCAGAGGCACCGCTTCGGGCGCTGCGAGGCCCATGAGGAGAGCAGGACCAAGCTCGCCGACAAGCATGCGGGCACTGTGCAGCGCATGGCGGGCACAGGCGAGAGCTTGCTGCTCAACTGCGGCCTGGTGGCGCACCCCATCCAGGACGTCGAGGGCGACACCCAGATCGAGCAGTACCACTCGGTCAACGCAGAGGGCGGCGGCATCTGCGAGGACGACGTCATGCCGTTCATCTCGGGGGTCTGCTTCACCGACGGCTCGGGCAAAGGCGCCAACACGCTCAAGGGCTACGGCTGGGGCTACATGTGGTTCGAAGAGCCTGCTGATGGAGGACAGTATACGGCGCTTAGTGGAGCATGCGGAAGCCTGCCAGGAGTACGAGCTGACCTATCGGTGGGGCGGGCCGAGCTCCAGGCCATCTGGTATGCCCTGAGCAGGGCGACGGCCCCCACCACGCTGGTCACCGACTAATGGCGGTGAGGGGCATGAGGAGGGGACGACTGTGGTGCACGGCGCCGCAGAGGAGCAATTGCGACATTTGGATGCGCATCTGGAATGTCGTGGACGAGACCTTCCCGAACATGGATGGCCTCACGGTGGTGCGTGTGCGGTCGCATGGCAGAGGGCAGAACGCGTTCCACGTGCACGGTAACAAGATCGCCGATGGGTTGGCGGTCAAAGGAGCGCAGCTGGCCATGCCGCCGCAGTGGCAGATCGACGTCTGGCAGGACCGCTGGAAGACGGTGCAGCAGGTGCTGGACTTCGTGGCAGACATGGCAGTGGAGGTCGGCGACTTCGGGGACGTCGCGCTGCCCACCAAAGAGGAGGCACGGGCGCAGCGCCGACGAGAGGCCCAGCTGCGAGGACGGCAGCCCGAGGCTGACGAGACGAGGCCTGCCATGACATCGGCAGGGAATGCCACGGCTACGGTAGCGCCAGCTGTGGCGGCGGCAGCGGCAGCGGCAGCGGCAGCAGGCGCATCGCCTGAGGAGGTGGCTGCCGCAGCAGAGGAGGCTGCGAGGGTGGCGACCCAGCCAACAGCAGCAGCCGCGCCTGCCGACGACGAGATGGAGGAGGACGACCCCATCGAGGACTCCGACGGTGGCGGTGTAGCCGCAGGGCGGAGTGCGCCTGCTGGCCCTGCGGCGCGAGGACGGCCGCGGGACCCGACGACCAGGAGGCACAACATCGCCACGGAGGGCCAGTGGTGCAGATGCCTGGACTGCGGTGCGCGCTCCAAGGTGCTGGGGGCCCGAGCGGCGCAGTACCTGCGCCAGCGGTGCCCTGGAGTGCGGCAGCGAGTGACGTATGAGGGTGGCTCTGGTCGTGGCGGTGGTGTAGGCGCGCATGTGCGTAGGAGTCGCAGCCGTGGCCGAGGCGCCCTGATGCCTAGCCCCCAGCCGCCCGAGCCTGTTGCGCCTGGCTTTCCTGCTGCTGCTCCTCCTCCTCCAGAGGGGCCAAGCGCGGAGCCAGCCCGTGCTAGTGGAAGCTTGGCCAACAGGATTCTTGACCCTGCGCAGGGGCATCAGCTGCACCGCGCGGGGCCGTATACTTTTTGTGGCCGATGCGGGGTGCGATGCTCAGGGAGAGTTTGTCGTTCCTTGGGTGACCGCTGCCGAGGTCAGACGGCCTCGAAGCAGGTCACCAGCGCGAAGACTAAGCTGCTCGGTGGTTGGCACCCCACGCAGGCGGGCGTGCGTGTAGCCGAAGCGGCAGTGCGGCTCACAGACAGTGAGGTCCGCGCCTTTTACGGGGTGGCCTAGTGGCTGCCCGCCGTCACAGCTCGCGCGCAGCCGTTGCGCCGCGAAGCATTGTTACGGCAAGAAACATGAGCACGATTAGAAAATGAACGACGTGCATTTGTTCAGCCATCCCGCCGAATGAGGCCATGCGGGCCACCCGCGCGCGCATGTCGAGAACGTTCATCCACCATTATGCGCCCGCCAACTCTTTGCGATAATGCCGCGCGGGCCGCACGCGCGCGTCTCCGAGCGCGCACGTCGGGATCGTTCCAAAACCATTAATTATCCAACCATTTCGTCACGTGTGTTTTCAAAGAGGTACGACATCAATTTCCAATGGCACCATGCCAGGATACAGGATTTTCTGTGGGCGCGTACTGTCTCATCATCTCGTCAGCGCAGTCAGTACCATCATCGTCAGCGGCATCATTGCCATCATCATCGTCGTCATCATCATCGTCATCATCACCATCATCACCATCAGTGTCGTCGAGATCATCACCGCCACCGTCATCGCCGTCATCTTCGATGTCGTCGCACTCGTCAATATTCTGCGCGCCGGTGCTTCCTCTTATCACCACCTGCAACATCGTCATCATCATCGCCAGCATCACCGTTGGAATTGTCATTGCCATCACCATCATCTTCATCACCATCGTCGTGGTCGATATCGTATCGTCCCCATCTCCACTGTCATCGCCATCGGCATCAGCGCCATCACCACTGTCATCACCATCGTCGTGGCCGTCGCGGTCGCCACCATCGCCACCACCACTCCGTGACCTGCAGGACGGACTTGTCTGCGTGTCTGCGCGGGTGAGTTCCACGCGCCCCTGCGGTCGTTTGCATCCTGATCATATGAGCTTTGTGAACAATGGCACCCCATACATATATATATATATATATATACATATGGTCCAGGGCTTGGCCCTCACCCCCCCAATGCTGATGCCATTGGCCCCCCCCCCCCGCGAGATGGTCCCTCCGCCCCCCCCTGTGGGCGTGGCGTGGTGCTGCGCTGCGGTGCCCCCCTCCCCCCCTGTGGATGTGGTGTGGTGTTGTGGTGGTTCAGAGGTGGGCGTGGCGTGGTGCTGCGCTGCGGAGCCCCCCCCCCCCCCCTGTGGATGTGGTGTGGTGCTGTGGTGATTCAAAGGTCGTCGTCGTCGTCGTGGTCGTCGTGGTCGTCCTCGTCGTGGTCGTCGTCCTCGTCGCCCTCGTCGTCGTCGTCGTCGTCGTCGTCGTAGTCGTCGTCATCGTCGTCGTCGCCGTCGTCATCGTCGTCATCGTCGTCGTCGCCGCCGCCGCCGCTGGCGTCGTCGCCGCCGCAGCCGTCGTCGTCGTCGTGGTCGTCGTCGTCGTCGCCGTCGTCGAAGTCGTCGTCGTCGTCGTCGCCGTCGTCGTCGTCGTCGTCGTCGTCGTCGTCGTCGTCGTCGTCGTCGTCGTCGTCGTCTCTGGGACCATACCATCTCGGGGTGGGGGGGGGGCCCGAGGAATCCTGAGACCATACCGTCTGGGGGGGGGGCCGTGGGCCCGGAGCCCGGGACCATACATGGACCATATATATATATTGTATATATAGGTGTGTATATATATTTAAATAACGTGTCTGAAGTGCAAGAACCCACGGCTTAGGAATCCGCTCTGGCAAGCTCTGTGTTTGAAGAAATTTTGAGGCGGGGTCCCGCCCTTCTCGTCGTCGCGGGACGCAGGAGCCACGGACACCTCTGCCCCGGAGCTCTTCGCAGCCAGCGACACGAACCCGGATGGGGAACGGGGGTCGTGGCCCATTCTTGCGCGGCATGGTGTGAGAGGAGGAGTGCGGCGGAGGGGGGGAGGAAGAATGGAGGGGACGAAGAGGAGGATGAGGAGGAGGAAGAAGAGGGAGGGATAATGGAGGGCAAGAGGGAATTGATCGAGAGTAGCAGGAGAGGGAGTAGGGAAGATAGAAGGGTGAGGAGGGGAAGAGGAGGAGCAGGAGGAGGAGGAGGAGGAGGAGGAGGAATAAGAGGAGGAGGCAGGGGTTTAGGAGTAGGAGCAGGAATGGAGGGGAGGAGCAGCAATGGAAGGGGAGCAGGTTTCGGGGGGATGAGGAGGAAGATTCGAGCGGAGGAGGAGTGGTTGGGGGATGAGGAGGGAAGAGACGAGAAGAAGAAGAAGAAGTTGAACCAGGAGGGGAAAGAGGAGGAGAATAGGAGGAATGATGTTGATGATGGTGATTGTGATGTTGTTGATGATGATGAAGATGATGGCGACGATTGGTGACGACGCGGTTGTTGCTGAACATTCCCCAAGCAGTGCTTGCACTTGGACTTGTTACTTCTGTTTTAAGGAACTGGGCCGAGTCATCGGTCTGGCGGCTATGTGGCCGCCGTCGCCGCCCCGTCGCCGCCTCGTCGCCGCCCGTCGTCTGGGCCGTGTCTTCGGTTCGACGTATATGTGGCCGTCGTCGCCGCTCTGTCGCCGCCTTGTCGCCGCCCGTCGTCTTGGCCGTGTTTTCGGTCTCGCGGCGATGTGGCCGCCGTCGCCGTCCCGTTGCCGCCTCGTCGCCGCCCGTGCATTGATCAACAGATGCGGCACAACATAGATTGCACAGCCTTGATTGCACGACATAGAAGGCTCCAAATCGACTGCACAACATGTGCGGCACCACAAATCTTGCCCCACAGAGACTGCACATCATAATTTGCCCAAAATACATCGCACAACGTGTGTTGCACCACGTCGATTCCTTCACATAGATTGCACCGTATAGATCGCACCGCACAGGGTCCACAACATAGGTTGCACACTATACACTACACAACATAGATCACACCGCCTATACTGCACCGCGTATATCGCCCCACCTATAGATTGCGCAACATACGTTGGCCCTGATAGATCGCACCATCTTAACTGCACAACATAGATTGCACAACATGGGCTTCACGACAAGGACTGCGCCACGTGGATTTCTCCAAATTGATTCCAGAGCAGATACTGCCAGAACAAAAAAACGCTGCTCTTGGGCCGCGCTGGCTGACACAAATTATAAAAGCATCATCCGTGCTGGACCCCCTACATCTGCCTGGGCGCTCTCGCCTCGGCGTTGGCTGCGTGTCCTATAAAAATTGAAACTTACGCTCACGCGTTTCAGGCTACCGCCCAACTTGCCCCCCCAACAAGAACGACGGTACAGTGACAGACTTCCCTACGGCTTGCTCCGAGAGGCCTTGGCCAGAGAGGGCCCGAAGTTCAGGAAGTGCGCTCTCGCCTGAGACTTGTTTGCAATTTAGCGCAAGAGGGGGTCCTGTTGAGCAGTCTTGCTGCTACGTGCGGGTGCCAGAACGGCCGTTTCGCTTGAGACCTCTCGCAAGTTAGCGCTACAAAGGGGTCCTTCAGAACCATATGGCCGCTACCCGCGGATGTCGGAATGGCTTCGTCGCTTCAAATTTCTTTACAATTCAACACCACAAGGGGGGGCCCTAGCGGCCGTTTCGCTTGAGACTTCTTCGCAATTCAACAGCACTGAGGAATCCATAAGAACAGTCTTGCGCTATTCGCGGTGGCCTCAGGAAGCCGCAGGACGCTCCAGGGATATGTGTTCGGCAAGCGTGTTTCAGCCTCTCCGCTCCCAGGAGGCCCCAGGAGACACTTTTTCTGGAGTGGGATCTATCTTCCGGGAGCGGTTTTGTGCATTCCCACCTTCAGGAGGCCCCAGGGGGCCCCAGGAAGCATGTTTTGGATTGGGATCTGTGTTCGGGGGGCGAGGTTCGGCCCCTCCGTCCCCTGGAGGTGCCAGGCGATACGTTTCTGGATTGGGATGTGTTCGGGGAGCGTTTTTCCGTGCCCCCACCGCAGGGAGGCCCCAGGAGGCATCAGGAGGCCCCGGGACAGATGTCTGTGTATAGGGATGTGCGTTCGGGGTGTGCTTTTTGCCTCCCCCCCCGCAGGCTCCGCCAGCGTAGGTTTTGCCCTAGAAGTTTCGCCGCCCCTTTCTTGCGGCTCGAGCCCAGTTTGCGTTTTACGTATAGTCGAATGCGTTGTGTCGTAAGTATGCTATTATAGATATATATATATATATATATATACACACACATGTGCATGTGTGTATACATTCTGTAAATATACACGCAGAGAGATAGCTCGTGCCCCTCGGCTTGGGCTCGACCCCTTCGTGTTTCACGAAGTTTCCTATACATTGCCCCTGGACTGGTGCTCGAATCCTAGTTGTTTCACGGAGGCTCTTATAGATTGCCCCCCGATTGGGGCTCGAACCCTTGGTGTTTCGAATCGCCACCGCTCCCCAGAGTCGCAATGACGTTTTTTGTCGCGCGAGCTGAAAACGAGAATGAACCTCGGGAGAGGTGGTGGCTCGACCTCCTTGGGCGGGAGATCTGGGTGTGGGAATATCGTCCTTTTTTCAGACGGCTCCCCCGAGAGGGGTAGCATCATGCTGGATGCATGGAGCATGTGGAAGCATGGCGCAGGAGGGTAACAAATGTGTCGCTGCCGAGGGCTATGGGTATGTTGAATATGAAGTTTGTCATGGGGATGGGGATCGGGAGGGGGAAAGCAGAGAGGAGGATTAGGATTATGCTGCTGATGATGACGATGGTAATGCTGCTGGTGATGATGATGGTGCTAATCATGATGGTGATGCTGATGATGATATGATGTTGATCGTGCTGTTCCTGCTGGTGGTGATGATTACGATGAAGATGAAGATGCGGATGGGGAGGATGATAAAGATAGGGAGGGGAAGGAGGAGGGACGAAGAGACGGGGATTGAGGATGAACGGGACGTTCGGAGTAGGGAAGGGAAGGAGGCGAGGAGGAGTATGTGTACGAGGAAGAGGAGGAGGATGACGAGGAGGGGGAGGAGGAGGAGGAGGAGGAGGGGAAGGGCGGGGTTAGCGGAGGACTCGCTTGCCTGATCCCTTCAATCGTGTGCATGCCAGCTGAGGCGACGATGAGGAGCCCACCCATATCCTGGCCTTTTCCTGGGCGTCATGGAGCAGCCCCATGAGTTCTATCCCCAAAGGGCATACCGAACCTGTAGCCGAACGCGTTTGGCTCCAATTATCTCCCCCGCATTTCACGCACGAGCGCACCCTCTGGGACATTCGTATCATCCCGTGTGCGCGCGGCATTGGTTGGGCAGCGTTCTCTTGAGCAGTGGCGGAAACCAGCGCCGTGTGTTGGCTCCGAGTGTGCAGGAATCTTTGCTCCCTATTTTCTGCCGCTCCTCCTCCCCATCCGCCTGCCCTCCCCTCCCCCCACGCCGCGGGAAGTGCTGCAAACGTCACGGGGCCGGTGCGGCGCAGCCGGCGTTGAAATTGTTCAAGCAGGTTTGCGCCCAGTCTGGCGTTAAAATTGTTAAAGCTTTATTGGCCGAATGGATCGTGCGTGTGGAGTGCGCGTGCCGCGCGATGCATCACAGCAAATTAATTCGCACGGTCGTGAAATGGTATGAATTCAGATTCCTCCTGTTCTGTTCTGTTTAGCACTGCCCGCGGATGATGCTGCGATTTGACGTTGCCAGCGTTTGCGGGGGAGCGCGGCTTCACACGTTGCAGCAGGCGCGATCCCAGATATTTGTAGTGTAGCGCGTCACGGAACAGGTAAATCAAAAGCGCAAACAAACAACAACAAAAAACGCACGAGCGCACTTTGCATGGTAGCTGAAAGTGTGTCGCCCTTGCTTTGTTCGAAGGACTGGTCTATGACCTTATCGCACCCCCCTCTGAGTACAACAGAGGTTGCTGCCATCCCAGCGCTGCAGCTGATAACGTCTGACTGCGGCCTTCCCTCCGCTATTTCGCTGAGTAGTGATAGAGACCGCTGCCACTGTTCCCCCTTATCGCCCACGCCGTTCTGAGCACTGGTTTGTCCGATATCGAACTCTTGTTTCGCCTTGCGCCCTTTTCGCACGTCCTGACTCCACCGCTGTAGCTGACATCGAGCTCTAGCTTCGCCTTCCCCAGTGTAGCTGCTGACCTCGGGCTCTAAATTCACCCTCCTCATACAGATGCGGTGTGACAGAGCCTGCTGCCACCCCCTGCTGCCACTGTTTGCCTTCTTGCACTGCCAGCACGAACCGCCGCTACCTGTCTTCTAGCCCGTGCTGACCTCAGCAGCATTGTGGCTGATGTTGTTTGGCTCGTCCCGCATTGCGGATGACCTCGGGCTCCAGCTTCACCCCCAGTTTCTCGCAGAGTGGTGCCAGAGCCCCCTGCCGCACTGCGCCCTTCTCGCACGCGCTGCCCCCCGAATTTTTTCCGGCCGTAAGGAGTCGTACGGCCGGGAAAAAAACGCAGGGACGTCAGCGGTTCTTCGCAAGCCTTGGTTCCAACGTTGTGGCTGATGACATCGGGCTCCATCGTCGCCTTCGATCTCACTGAGTAGCGCCAGCCACTGCTCGACCTTCTCACACGCACGAACTGGCCCCGTAGCTCATGACATTGGCTTGCGCGGCCTCTCCTTACTTAGACTGCGCCCTTCTCGCAAGCCCTGATCCCAACGTTGTGTCTGATAACATCGGGCTCCATCGTCGCCTTCCAACTCGCTGAGTATCGTCAGAGTTTGCTGTCACTGCTCGGCCTTCCCTCACGCACGAACTGGCTTCAGCCCTGTAGCCTCAGCCCTGTAGCTGGTGACGTTGGCCCGCGCGGTCACGCCTTTTTTCACACGGGCGGCCCCCAGCGCTGTACCTGATGATGTCGGTCCACGCGTCGCTTCTCGCATCAGCAACGCCTGCTGCCAATGCTTGCCCTTTCTCGCCTTGGCAGCGCTTGCTGCCATTGCCTACGGTTGCGAACGAGCTGACTCCATCGGTGTAGGTGGTGGTGCTTGGCTCCTGCACCTGCGCTCACGCGATGATAGAGATTGCTGCCACTGCTCGTCCTTTTGTCGCACTGGCAACAGCGGCTGCCAGTGCATCCGTTCTCGCGCGATCTGATCCCAGCGTTACAGTTGACGGTGCTGCTTTCCCTAGGGCTTGAGTTCTGCACTGTTGCGGCGGCCCGGCGTCGGCGTTCGCCACTGCTCTCAAAGGGGCGGAGTAGGGGCAGGAAGAAGAGAGCAAGGGTGGGACGGGGGAGAGCACTCCTCCTGGCGGCCTCGCCCGCGCCTGATCTCAGCATTGTAGTTCGTGATGTTTGGGGCGGCGATTCTTCATGATGGCCCTCGAGCGCGAGGCCATTCTGAAGTCGGCGCTCGAAACGCCCGCGCGCGCCGCGTGCAGGAGGGTCGCTCGGACGCGAAATTGCTAGGAGGTAGGAGGAGGAGGAGGAGGAGGAGGAGGAGGAGGAGGTGGTGGAGGAGGAGGAGGTGGAGGAGGCGGGGGAGGAGGAGGTGGAGGAGGCGGGGGAGGGGGAGGGGGAGGCACGAGGAGGGGAGGGTCTCCTGGCGGGGAGCCTGGCCAAGCGCATCGAGACAGACGGCTCCACGGTCGTCAGCGGCATGGGGTCGCACGCTGTGAGCAAGGTCTCTTTTGGTTCCGCCTTTGTCCGGCCCCTTCCCAGTCGTCCCTATCCTTGCGTACTTGCGTTCGCCCCTGTCGTTTTTCCGTCTTTTGTTGCAGCTTGCCTTCCTCCCACAAGTATCCATCACCGCCCTCGTTTCGTTCTCACTCTCATCCGTCTCTCTGCCTCTCCTCCTTCAGCTTCTCCTCCTCTTTGTGTGTCCTCTCTCTCTCTCTCTCCTTCTCCGCTTCGTCTTGCCGCTCCGCCTTCTTAGCCTCCTGCTTCTCCAGGTCCTTGTTCCAGCCCCTCTTCCGCTCTGCCTCCTCCCGGTGGCCATCCTTCACCTCATCATCGTCCCCCTCCATCAGCGCTCGGCACCGCACGCGACTGGAACTCAGCCGCACCGTGGCTGTGGCTGACTGTGGCTAACTTGGGCTACCAAAGCGACTTTGCAAGTTTCGCGCTCACTGCGATCACATGCTTTAGACCAGCAGTTCATCGCCAGCAGCATCGCCTCTGAAAGCGAGTGTCTCTACACCACCGACCTGCATACCCAGATATTGATGCACATCATGCGCGGCCAGTGTGAACAATCAGCAAGGAGTGTGACTGAGGACGTGGTCGTGGGAGCTTGGCACACCAGGTTGTCATATTGCCTGGTGTAGGACGGTGTGACCACAGCGGGCGAGAAAGCGCCGTAAACGAGAGGTCCACCATCACGACGCAAAGAGCGTCGCGTTTCTTAGTGCTCCTTCGAGGGCCATCGATGCCAGGCTCCGTGTGCGGTGTGATTGGGCTCGGCGTGGACGACTCGGCTTTTGGTGTGCACGTGCCAATCGAAGCGATCGTGGACATGTCCAAAAATCCGCAGCATTCATGGCGGCGCCATCGACTGATTCTGGGTCGAGTCCCAGAATTTGGCTGGACATTTTGGTGGCAAGCCGCGTGCATCACCAGAGGGATGCGCTGCAGCCGCTGCAGCCCGCCGAAGTGGCGAAGCTAGAAGCACAGTACCTTGAGGGCCAGGCAAAGATGGAGAAGATAGTCGCCACGCAGGGCTGGTTCAGGGACCGGCATCCTGCCGATCTGTTTTGTTCGGACGTGGGTTGACGTCTAGCTTGAGCCCCCTGCAGCAGAAGCTGCCCAAGGTGAAAATTGGCGATCAGGCCGAGCCAGCAAGCGCAACGCGCACGTAGCAGGACGCGCCCCAAACACAGCTGGTGAAGTCTCCTGCCGATCTGGTCGAACTGGTGCGCGAGGGAGCTGCACGCCGCGTGGGCGCTCCGTGCCCGCTCCTGGTCTTGCCGCTCACCGCGACGGCGCGGCGGTGCAGTCACCCGGATGGGGGTGCGGTGCGGTGGCGCCCGCGGCCCGGCGACCTGGGCGCCCTCCCGGGCGCCGGCGGCACTGCGGTTGCGCGCCTCGCCGCGCAGCGTATCGCCCCAGCGCCGCAAGGGCCAGGCCAACCAGGTGCAGCGCCGCCCCGCGGCCGCGACGTGGCGTCCGAATTCGCGAATCAAAGAAACCAGCGGCGCCCGCGCCCCACAGACACGGGCGCGGAGACGGGCAGTGGAGTCCTGCGTGGCGCTCCAAGATGGTCTGGGAGTGGCGATCATTTCTGAGCTCGCCATGGGGAAACGCCACGTCTTCGAGGGTCGGCAAGTGGCTGAAGTAGAAGTAGCATGCGACGGCCCGCGCGACACTGACAGCGACTTCCAAGCTCACAGCGAGACAGTATGCTCGTTCCAGGTGATGAGGGCGGCGATCGGCAGTGGGCAAGAAGTCGGTTTGCCATAAGCAGCACGTCTCGCATGTGGCAGGCGACCCAGACAATACTTTATTGCCAGCCATGGCCCATGAAAATGGCGAGTTCAATCGCAGTGTAGCCGCCCGTCTTTTGGCACTGTTGACTGCGCAGTTGCACAACATCGCGAATAAGTGTGTTCCGGGCCTCACACTGCTTGGCCAGATGCAGAGGTGCCCGATGACAAAGAGCAGGCTGTGAACGCGAAGTGCGAGCTGGTGCCGATGCGCACCTACAATACGAACGCAACGAAACCAATTACACACGCAGGTACGTCGGTAGAACGAGCGTCTTTTGTTTTGTTGCATGTCTCACATGTGGGCAGGCCACCTCAGACTGCCGTCCTCGTTACACGCTGTAGTGGCACGCTGCCGCGTGGCCGCTGCGAGCGCGCGCGCCAGGGGCATTGCTTCCGCGCACAGGGGGCTTCTTCTGGCGAGAAAGAGGTTTCTTCTTTCCGTTGTTCTGTGAGGCAGCGTGGGCCTCGGGAAGAGCGCGTTCTGCGGTCGCTCGGAGGGGGGGGGTGGAACCAGAACCCCCCCCCCGCGACGTGGATCGGGAAGCGTAGCATAGCATCAATAACGCCATCGGCCACGCGGCCGGGACATGACATGCGGCGGCATTTACCCTGCCGGGATCATGTTCCCGGAGGGCCTCCGGGAACATTAAAATCAAAGGCTCGGCAGAGCCGAAATTCGTGACATGTTCGTTGCCGTGTTGTGCGGTGCGTGAGGCATAGCGCAGCGTGGTACATTTCTGCCAGTGCTTAGGAGAACGACTTGCGGGCGGTGCGTCAGACATGGCAGGCGTAGCATGTCGTCAGTGAGCCGCGGGGAGAGTGGCAACGCCAACCCCGCGCCCATGCAAAGTATGAAGCTGCGCTGGCACGTTGGCTCAAGATGGAGTGATCTCAGGAGAAAAAAAAACATCCTTTGCCCGTCCCGGTGAGGAAGAGGAGTCAGTCTCAGCGGCGACGCAGGCTGCCCCTCCGACTCTCCGTTTCTTGCAACGCCCTCCTGAGCTTGAAGCTCAGGATCCCTGTGGACAGCAGCCTCCGCCATCCTCTGCCCATGCCCCCGGCGGAGGCCCATCGACTGTTGAGCTTGATAGCTCAGGGGGGCCCTTTCGACGACATTGTGCAGGAGGCTGAAGAGCAACAGTTTTGAAGATGGCATTTGATGAGTCGATCGTGCCCCGTGGAGGGCCAGACGAGAGGAGAGCCCTGCAAAGGGTTGCGAGCCCAAGCGCTGCCCTGGCGCCACATGGCTACACGCATATGCGGCAGTGCAGGGCGTGCTACGACGCGATCGTCGGCCCGGCGATCAGGTGCAGCGCGTGCGAGGGCGACGTCCACGCGCGCTGCATGCAGGTCATCGGCATGTCCCCCGTGTGCTTCTACTGCTTGGCTTGCAGGGACGCGCTGGCTGCGCAGCGCAGCTCGGCATGGACTGGCCACGTCGCAGCCCAGATGCGCGCGTTCGCGGCTAGCGGAGGGCAGCTGGCTGGCCAGGTGATCGGGGCGACGGTCAGCGGCGCGGCGCAGGGGGCACTGCGGCTTGTCCAAGGAGCCGTGGCCGGCGCCAGGCGGACCTGGACTGGGGCAGGCGCGGCGCCGCCGCCGGCGCGGCCGCGCTATCTGCCGCCGCAGCCGCTCGAGCACGACAGCCAGGACAGCCAGCAGCTGGACGAGGTCTGGTTGGCCAGGCAGCAGATCGAGATCCTGACCAGGAGGACCGAGGAGCTCGAAAGGCAGCTTGGGGGTCACGCCGCCCCGGGAGGGGCGAGCCTCGACGCGGGCGCGCTGACCGGCGGGCCGCCCAGCTCCCCGACGGATCGGGGAGAGCAGGGCTTTGCTGGAAAGGAGGAGGAGGCGCGAAAAGAGGATGAGGACACTGCAGCGCAGGAAAGGCAGGAGAGGCGTTGACAGCAACGCCGCAGCAGGAGCGAGGGCAGCGTCTGGTGGGCCGACCAGCCCAGATGCGTTCCCGACCAACGCGAGTGTGGGCGCGGTGGTCGCGGCTACCATCAGGGCCCTGGCAAGCGAAGGTTTGGCCGGCGCTCAGGCGAGCTGGGCGCAGGTGCAGGCGCCGACCGAGGAAGACCGGTGGCTCGACTCGTGGGCTACGCCAGGTGCCGCCCCCAGCCCGCGCGCGGCGACGGCCGTAGTGGCCGTGGGAGGAGGAGGAGGAGGAGGCGCTGAGGCGCTGAGGAAATAAAGCATCGCCAGAGCGCCCCGCAGCCAGGAGGAGGCAGCGTCGGAGATGTTCCGACGAGGGCCATAATAAGCCATCGCGAAGGTCATGGTGATGAAAGAGGAGGCGGATGCTGCTCGCCGACACGGGCGCGACCCATGAGTTGAGGTCGATTCCGATTGGCACCGCGCCCGAGGCTCCCCACAGGATCATCGAGCTGCAGGTGGCCACGAGCAGCATCGACGCGACCATCGGTGACGACGACATCGTCTACGTGCCGAGCGAGGTGGAGCTGCAGCCGCTGTTCCCCATCGGCGCCTACTTGCACGAGCGCGGCCTTCGCCTCGCGTGGGCCGCCGGGCAGGCCGCGATCCGCCTGCCGAGCGGGCGAGACATGAGGCTTGAGCAGGTCAGCGGGGCTCCGTGCCCGGATGAGGAGAGTGCGGAGCAGCTCAGGAGTTTGAGGAGGGGGCTCCGTCAGGGGGGAGGCCAGGCGCTGGTGCTGCGCGCGGTTGCGGCTGCTGTGAGCATCTCGGATTTGGCGCGCCACAGGGCGGAGGGCCATCCGAGGTTCATGCGGGAGTGCCGGGAGTGCCGTTTGGCAGCGGGGCGCATGAGGCCCCATTATCGCCTCGACCCTTCATTTCGGCCGGGAGGCCAACTGAGCGTGGACATATCCGGCCCCCGCCCGAAGGGATTATGGCCAAGCTCGCTCGCCGAGGATGGCCCTAGGAGGGCCTGCTACTTCCTCGTGGCCGCATGCCAGGTGCTGACCGAGCGCGAGGTGGAGGACCAGGAACGCATGGTTAAGGGCGCCAAACGAGCAGCCGGAGTCGAGGGGCCCGCGGAGCCGGCGCGCGGCGCAGCTGACGCAGGCGCTGCCGAGGAGCGGGGGCCCGCAGGACCGGAGGGGGTTGAGGGGTAGGACGAGGTAAGAACATGGGACTACACGAAGCCTTCGGAGGGGAAGACCTCCAAGGAGTGCACCGCGGCGATGGGTGAGATCATCGGCGAGGTCAACCTGGA